AATGTGGGATTCAGAAAAAGATGTTGAAATGTCTGAAAGGTCGGGCACAGGCGAGAGCGTATCTGGAGATGGAGACCAACAAGACCTCCCTCATCCTTGGCCCTATCGCAAAGAATTTTTCAAAATAGTCGAAAAATTGAGCTTTCAATTCATATAGTGGCATCTGACAGTTTTTTTTTTTTTAAGGTAACTTTATACTTTAATACTTTAATTAGTTTTTGGAGCACATACTTTTTCACTTTTACTTGAGTAACGAGGTCAAGTTGATATTTCAATTTTTACCAGAATGTTTTTAAACTGCAGTATCTATACTTCTACTTGAGTAACAGATGTGTGTACTTTTGACACCACTGTTCATTGTTTACTATATTAAGTGATCTGCACAGCCAAAGAGCCACGTGTGGCTCTTAAGCTGCAGGTTGCAGACCCCTAATGTAGGGGATGAGAACTAAAAGTGCAACTGTAACTTTTCAAATCGGTTAAAGCAAGACTCTAAACGTAGCAAATTACAATGTTCTAATGTACCAAAAAGGTTTCTGTGCCACTGTGTGTCATCAATAAAACTGGTTTAGTACATGTTCAGAACTGCTCATGAATAAGTATGTTCTGTTATTTGGATGGACTTTGGCTGCCATATTAAGCCACTGTGTGTATTTTAGTGTCCCACATACAAAAATTCATAGAAAAAGTTTTGTGTTATTATCCAGAATCAACAGAGCAAGAGAAGAGTGAGGGTTAAACCGAAATACGGGCATACCAATGTAATCCACTGGTACTCAAGTCACATAAGCTTTAAGATGAAAATATAACTTCTCAATCTTTTAAACATGTCTTATGTGTACATCATTAGGTAAATTTTGCATGGGTGCAAAAAATACTAAATATGCATCATTGGGAATGTTATGCATTCATAGAGAACAAGAGTGACAGTAAGAACTAGTAAGAAGAGTGGAGGTGGAGTATCAAATCCAGTCTGGTTTTTCTGGATTTCATTCTGCTGTAGCATTTTATATCTATGCAGAAATGTGAGCTGGTTGTTAAAGGAAGAGCATAATGTTTGCTTCTCTAGCAGCTCTTCAGATAGAATGTGTGTACTGAGTATGAAGCTGGAAATGAGACATAAAGTATGGTTTTGTATTATTCTGGCTTGTGCAACCCAAATTACTATGCTAATATTTGTCTCATTGTTGTGGCGCAAGAGAATGAAAAACTGCAGTTTTCGCAGGAAGCAATGTTTCCTGATCCTGAAGCAATCACCCGTCTGATACCAGCGTCTTGATCTGTTTGAGCTAAGATGCCAACCAATCTATGTAAAGCAGACAAACATGTTATAACTCCCTTAACAGATGTAAAGAATCTGTAAAGTAAAGATTAAGAAAGAAGAGAGAGTTTGATGAATAACCAGAAGCAACATTTGTAGTAAAAAAAGGCAGTGATGTCATCTTAACTGGCTAACTATGCTATCAAGCGCCTCCTTTAAATACTCTCCATTTAGTCCTTTTTTTTAATTAAACAAAAAATAACATAAATTATTCTGAGCACATCATGATGTGATGTATACACCCTTTTTGTCCTTGGTGAGTGTTTAGATATGTGAAAGGGAACCTTTGACAGATTAGATGTATATTCACTAAGGCAGAAGGTTACCATCATGGTAATACCAGCATTGCACCAGGTGACCATTTTTTATTTGTTACGTTAACATGTGTCAGTCAAATCATCAGCTTACCGTAATTAAAAATAAAGTCTCCTAATGTAACGGCACCACAGAATGAACCAGAAATAGTAATTCCATTGGGTTAACTGTCACTCATTTACACCATAACCATAGAGAGGGAGATCGGTCAGCTAGAGACAAGGGCCGTTTTTAAATGCGTGTTCTTGTGCATTCTCATGTGCGTGTGAAAGGTCATCAGCCTCAGGGCGGTTCCATTTCATTAGAGCGAAAAGACAAATGTCTTCTTATCAAGAACATACTTGGTGAGAACACAAGTCCATATTTGCGTTCTTGTGACTTGAGAAACAGCCAAGGTCTGCAGTTTGTGACGGGCATCTCCAGGCACTATTTTGATAAAAAATGCACAAACTACACCCCATTACACACATTTACACCTGAAATTTCATTTTAAAATCAGATTTCTGCCTAACTTAAGAAATTAAATTGTTCTTGCAGTCTTTTTACTTCTTTTGTTGAGATAAGCAGTGCATTCTAGAGATGCAAAATAATCAAATTTCCTCAGTTTTTATTTTGCAGGGCTGTAAAGTTTGAGGCATTCATTAAACATTAATGTCATACATACTTCTTTCTTTTAAAAACAGTTCATATTACTATTATTAAATGATTACTTTAACTAGTCATCAACATAAAGTCATACTATATAACTGATTTCGTAGGCAGCTTGGATTAAAGGGCCTAAGAAACCTTCTAATTGGTTATAATCTGCCTGAACATAACAGACACTCCTCCACCTTTGCCTGAAGTTTCTGGGATGCTGAAGGAGCCGCAGCAGGGGGAGAAGCTCCAAGAATGGAGTTAAGTCACCAACTTGAAGCCACGCCTTGGTAAAGAACATAAAATCCAAGTATCACGTTACAAAATTACTTCAGAATAAAGGTAGTTTTAGCTATGGACATTACAGTAACTAAAGCCGAGTTCATGGCCACCATCGCAAAGGATGGAGTGGAGAGGTGGGGCTGCCTTAGACATGTACAGTACTGCTGCAGGAACCATGAGTATAATACAAGATGTGGAAGAAAGGACATCCTGGTAGATCAAGGATACCCTTCAGTTGATACATTGAGAGCCTTAATATGGACCACAACATCCCCGTGTTTCCCCGTCTGCGTAAATACCTTCTCTATGGTTGCAGCTGGGTGCAAATGGTGTGAAAATACACGACTTCAAAAAGTGCAGCAAATATAAAAATAAGTCTTGTAAATACAATTATAAACACAAGAACTCAAAACTTAGACTAACACATAAACACAAGCAAAACTTCTCTGTTCACAGAAAAAAGAGAGATGCTAAGTGAATACATGCTTCATATAAAATAATGGTAACACAAAACAAATGCAAAGGGAAAAGCTGCAAGTTGCAAAAACACTTGGTTGTTAAGAAGAGCTACAAACTACCACTATGACTAGGATGTGCATGCTGCTCGTAGGACATGTGCCTATTATCCTGGATATTATTTACATCATAAACTTAAATTAGATTCATGTTCTTATTTTAGACACTTACAGCCTCCTGTTTGGGAATAACTAAATAAGAAAATTTCATGGAGTCTCAAATCAACTAGCAGTTCTTCGTAATTGTGACAAGCTAACCAGCTAAAATATTAAAAAGTGCTATTTCTAATGACGTGGTAAAGGAAAGACATTTTAGGTGACTCAAAACATAAGGTATATCACTGGTAATTTAATACAACTGAGGTTACCCTGAGGTGAGGGCTGAAGGCTAGACCGTCCCGATTCATAGGTGATCACTTCCAACATTCATTGCTTTTGAGGGTCCTGGCCTTTCTTGACCGGTTCTTTTTAGAATGGGACACACCCATCGGTGTGGGGCATATTTCATTGCAGCTGTTGAAAGGTTCCACTTTTTTAAAAATTCATACAAGCCCCTCTTCTTACGTTATGCTGCCTGTGTATTTGGTCCCATATGAGTTTGTGACCATCATCATGTGTAGCTAGTTTGCAGTATTTTATTTGCATGTGTTTCATGTGTTGACATCATTTATATGTTTGCAGCTTTTTTTATGTGTCTTTGCAAGACATTTCTACTTCTCTTATCCCTTCACGGTATTTTTTCTTTGCATACTTTTAGTGTTTGTGTGTTGGCGTAATTCGCTGACCTAATTTTCTTTTCGGGGGAATTTGCTGTGAAGTCATGTATTTGCGGGTAATTGCACTCCTCCACCACCGTTCTTATCCCTTTGATGAATGCCTGTGACACAGGTAAGTTGGTCTACTACTAGGTAAAGGTGGTGAGTTCTTGTGGTTCTCATTCAGTTTCATCTCCCAAAATATAGTGACATCAAATGGTGCCTTAAAATATCCAGGATAAGTCACATGACCATTGATCTCTGTCTTTGTGTTTATAGTCCGGACAATAGCTTTCAGATTCTCAGGATCCTTATGATTACCCTTCTGTAGTTTTCCTCTTTACTAAGATTTTAGTAGAAAGTCATTAATCTGTCATAAAAAAAAAACAAACAGCTGAGCTCCTTCACCATTATTCCTGCTCTCCCATTTGCGACCTTTGGCAAAATTTGAACTGCTTTCTTTTCCCTATCGTAGATTTTTTTTTGCATTTACTCAAAAGCAGTGCTTTTTTTTGCAGATGGTAAAATCACCCTCTTCGGTCAAATGTACACAAAATATACGGTGCGATTGATGAGTTCCATTATTTTATTAGACATTATTTTGAAAATTAAAAAGCAGGTTGATCAGGAGGAATTACAGTTACAGTTTTCACATCTAAACAATTGCGAAAATAAAAAAAGTTGTCTTCATAGTGTTTTATGTGGAAGAAATATAAATTATGTGACTGTGGTCTGTTTTGATAGTCAGCATTACTTTACTAAATTAGGGCGGATCAATCAACTGTACTTGCAGTATCATTTCAAATTAACAAAATTCTACTTTCAAATGGAAGAAGTGCTTAATTTTGGTTTCATTACATTGAAACAAGAGTGCAGCACTGACTTTCTTGCGGTAATATATTTAAAGTGGGTTTTCTGCAACACAGATGGGAAGACAGGGTAGCAGATAGCATGTGGATCCATGCGTACGAGCAGAAGCAGGCAGTTTTCCACGCAAGAGTACAAGTAAAATCTCGCCACAAGGACTCAGGACAGGGAAAATTTCAAGGTCATGAACACAATGACATCCTGGAGTGAAACATTTTGTGCTTTTGGTTAGTGCAAAGGAAATTCAAAAAAAAAATTGCAATAGCAGTTTAAAAATGTAACCCCTTACCGTTCCTTTTTTTATATAGCTTCCATTAACAAAACTAAAGAAAATACTCCAGTCCAACTGTGTGATTTTCTGAAATTCTCCGAAAATCATTTTCTGGAATTACTCTCATGCACCTTTCCCTTTTTTTCCCCCCCAAGTTCAAAGCTTGCAACTTCCTCTCTGTGTTTTTGACCTTTGTCATTATGCAATTTTGTTCTGACAGTATTTGTATTTTGTTGCCCAGCCAGCACATCTACCTCGCAGTGTAGTCGGTGACAGCAGACCACCATGGCTCTAAACATACCCGGTGTGGTGGCGGTGGTGCTGTTCTACATGTTAATCCTGGGTACTGGGGTTTGGGCAGCACGGAAATCCAGAAGAGTCGAGAGGAAGAGCTGCGGAGACAGAACCGAGGTGGTGCTGCTTGGAGACAGGAATATCAGCCTGGTGGTTGGGATTTTTACCATGACCGGTAGGTGGTTCTGTGAAAGCATGTTCTGCATAATGTAGTGACAAGATGAAAGATCCTAAATATGTAAACTATTACAGGAAAACAAAACAGGTTGAAAAGAAAAACCAGAAAAGACAGAAGGAAATAAACATAAGCTGTTAAACTGATCAGGACAGAACCAAACCACAAATCCGAAAACTTGCACCAAAACATAATGTAAAGAACTTGAAATCTCTGAACTAATTTTCTTTAATACATTCTTTATTGAACTACACTTTATTCTAATCAGTACAATTGTGTAACACATAGATGTCTAAATTTTCTAGCAAATCTAAGAACATAAACATGATAATAAATAACACTATTCAGTCAATTTTTCATCCAGATCAGTCTCAGAATAATGGACAGGCTAAACCACTAACCAGCGGTGGATTTACCCATAAACTTTGATTGTTTTGATTTTTTATAGGTTAATGGGGAAAAAAATATAGTATAGCAAAGTTTAAAAATCTTACTTAAACAATCTCTATCAGAAATATTCTTGCACTCAAGGGTTTGATATATTTTTTGGGCTATTAAGGACATATTTGAAGGCCTGTTTTCAGGACGGAATTCTTTTTCAAAAACAAGAACTAGTTACACAACTTTAAATATGTTATTGATTTTCCTTATCCACTTGGGGACAAAGTTATACGCACAGGCTGAGTTGTATACATACAACCCCTCAAATATTTGGTTAAAAGTCTTGTAGTTAATTGCACCTTGATGGCTGCACGTTTAGCAGTGTTACCACCGTTAAACAAATAAAGTAAATAAGGGAGAAAAACTGAACATGACTTTGTGGTCTTTTCTGGTTTGAACAAAGAGCCAAAGCTAGTTTTAAGTATTCTAATGACATGACAGATGTTTTATCATGAAAAACTCTGATTTCGGGGGGTGATGAAACCATTAAGAATGACTAGTTTCCAGTTATTGACAGGCTTTCCTGTTGCTTGTTTCCTATAAACACCAAAGACATTTTTCCCAGCTAAGTTTGAGAACTAGCATGCATGCAAGAACTGCACTTAAAAAGAAGGAAACCAGCCAATATTTAGAGCCTGTTAATGGCTGCCTCACGAAATGATGCCAATATGATTTTGCCTAATGTGAAATGACAAGCAGAGACACTGCCAGCACACAGAAACAAGGTGCAGAACACTTCATGGTAAACCAAAGTATTTTTTCCTTTTTTTTTATGCCTTTTTTACGCCTGTTGCTCTTTTTCAGCCACTTGGGTCGGAGGAGGTTTTATCCTGGGTGTTGCTGAAGCCGTGTACACTCCCAAAATGGGCTTGATTTGGGCTTTGATGCCGATCCAATACTCTGTATCCTTCATAATAGGTAAGGCAGTAGAGGAAGGAGGAGGCTGTGATCCTAATGTCAACCATATGTGTCTGGGCAAGTTTGTGTCTATCCAAATCTTTCCATTAAAAAATTGTATTTAAGCTATTACTGAATGAATACACAATGAACAATGGATGCTTTTGCAACCCTGCGTTAGGAGGTCTCTTCTTTGCCAAGCCAATGAGGGAGAAGGAATATGTCACCATGATGGATCCTTTCCAGGAAAAGTATGGCAGGGTGTTGAGTGGGGCCCTCGTGCTGCCATGTGTTTTGGTGGATGTGCTGTGGGTATCCTGCACTCTGTTAGGGCTGGGTAAGTGCACATCACCTTTTTCCTGCTTTCCCATGTAAAAACTACACACTTCAATGTGTTCTATTGTGATTTTAATGCAGGTCAACACAAAGCTGACTGCATTGAGGGAAAGGCTTCTTCAGCAGTTCTCTACATTTTTTATACTTAAATCTGAAAAGTGTAGGATTGCATTTGTATTCAGTTCATCTGACTTAATAATTCAAACAATACCATTTGCTGGTGTTACAGCTGGAAGTTTTTTGGGACGTTTCACAGGTATCTTTGCACATTTAGAAAGTGTGCTCACCGCTCTTTGCAAAATAGCTCAAACTCCCTCAGATTGAACAAAGTGAGTCTGTGTGAAGATTAGTTTTACATTTTCCTTCAAATGGAGAAAATAGATAAATCACAAGTAAATAAATTGTCAGCTACTGGAAAACCTGGATAGGACAGTACCCCCAACTCAGTGGACACAACCTGCTGGCCAACCTGGTGGTTATGGTAAAAGAGATGAGAAAGCAGTGAATCCAGAGGTGCACTTCAGGGCTGTGCTCACCTATAGTTAAGCAAAAACTGAAGGTCCAGAGCCATTGCCTCATATTTAAGTTGTAGACTGTGTGGTTGCTACCGGTACTACCCAGATAGGTGGAGGGGGTTTAGCCAGAAGGCCCAAAGAACTGAACTTAACTGGCCTAATGTGAGAAATATTGAACAGGCTGGACCTTCATTGATAATGGCAGCTTTAAATTAACAGAAAATGGAGCTTTTTAACAGTTAGAACGCTGAAATCTACTGAGAACTTTACTAAACTGTCGAGTATGTTTGCCTCAGCATTCCTATTGTGAGGGCAGTTAAAAAAAAACTAGGTTAATCAACAAAGTTGGCAAAATGTGAAAAATTACAAAGGGCTTGAATACTCTTACTAGTGTATTATTTTTTTTGCACAGGCAAAAAGCAATCTAGGTTATTGTACTGGATGACAGGAAAAGCACTGGTGTCACTAATGTATGTATTTGTGCAACAGGAGCAACTATGAGTGTGATACTGGACTTGGAGTTTGGCTACTCTGTGTGGATTTCAGCTGCTGTGGCTATAGTCTACACTCTGTTGGGAGGACTTTATTCAGTAGCCTACACTGACGTCATCCAGCTCGCCCTCGCATTCCTCAGTTTGGTAAATAGGAAGGTCCTTTACTACACATACCAATACTTAGAGTACAATATCTCACACTGTCCTTCTGTTACAGTACTTTAATACGTTTTTCATGTTATCATTTTTTGCTAAACAAACTAAAGTTGTATAAAAAGTGTGGTGCTCCCAGTTCTTAACAGTAAAAGTGCTGTAACCATAATGTAATCTCCATGCCTGGTGTGTACTCCTTCTGCTCTTATCTGATGCCTGCACACTCATGAACTCTTTGTGCGTTGCTCTCCTTGCAGTGGCTGTGTGTACCGTTCATACTACTGAACAAAACATCTGTTAACATCGCTGACACAGCTTTCAACAACACATTTCAAGATCCATGGGTTGGAAGTCTGGATAAGGATAGTGCCTGGAAGTGGATTGATGACTTCTTAATGTTGGTAAGCTGGTCAGTATATTCTACCTCTTTAACTAATAATCCCTTTGTTTAAAGAAGTCCTGATGACATGTGCTTAGAGGAGGCGTTCAAGAATTACCATAATTATTTTTCAGCTTGACTCCACCCTCCCCTCATATATAGAGGCGTGTGTTTTCTTAAGATAGCTGCTCTGACATCAGTTAAACCATCCATTTTAGTGACAGTTTTCCTGCAAGTTAATGTGTTTTTATTTAGTCTAGATTAAGATTTAAAAAAGCCCAGAAACACAAGGATTTAGGATTGAAGATAAGGCTACCATTCTCCTATGCCATGAATGACACTTGGAATATTGTGTGCAGAGAAAGGACATCTCCTTTTACTGTCCAATATTTCAAGTCCAAAAAGTTATAATCAAAGATAACCTCCGTTAATATAAAAATGTTTTTGCGAATGATAATTCAGTTTATTAAGGAAAAAAGCTAAACAACACACAACCTCGCTGCATGTAAAATAATTTCCCCCCCTAGAGCTAATATCTACCCTTAGTTACAACAGCTATCTCCAATAATTTGCAATAAATGATGAATATTTATATCAGACCAAGAGCAGGTTATTATTGTTTTCTTTCCTCCGGCTATAGATGATGGTCGCAACTATAGTTCACTGGAGTCCCAAAGGCTCGGTAACATTTCTTCTTTCTAATACCTATCTCGAATTATAGAATGTTTTTCCCTTTGCTTTTAAATTCCCTAGCATGAAATCCTAGCATAATAGGTTGCTTTCTACTATATTATGTCTGAAAGTAAAACACCTTCAAATAAAACTGTATCACAAGTTTCTCATCAGCTCCAGCTTTTAGGTGATTAAAAGTCATACTTTTAATTTAATCGTAATGTGTTTTACTTTCAAACAAGGAGTTTAATCTACACTCAATTGTTGGTAGTTTTGATCACTATTTGGTATGTATGACTTATATAAAATATAATACAATATTTATTACTATATATAAGACAACTTTAAAGATATAATGTAGGATTTTCGTGAATTTTTGAAGAGACCCTTTGCACTTAAAAAATTTTTATAAATAAATGCACAGCCTTGTACCTGCTACCGAGATGGAATGCCTTTTAAACCCATGCCAGAGCATGCAGGAGCCCATTTCTCCTCGTGCACACTCTGTTCAAAAGTTGCTGTTTGCATCACTCATACAAGCTTACTTTAAAGAAGATTTGCAATTTTTCCTCTTGGTCAGACTCATGACCGGTAAGTGAAAATGGGGGCGAGGACATAGGGTGTAAAGATTTCACCAGAACGATTGACAATTAAGAGCAATTAGGATAATTTATTTTGATGATCCACCCAGAAAAAGAACATCCTCCATTTACTTATAAGGTACCTCCTAGCAGTAGATATTTTTTGTTAGAATCAATTCAACTAAATTTAATTTCAGTGAACATTAAATATTCGTCTGCTTTGTGGACTTGTTTCCCTGCACTGGGTCGCGGTTGGTGCTGCGGCTTATCTCAGTGTGATCATTTAGCTAGAGGCGTGCTTCACCATAGACGGATTATAAAAATAAAAACTACTTAACTCATTGATTGTCATAGGGGGAATGATTCGCCTCCAGAGCAGGTGTGGTTAATGCTGCATAATGACCCTTAGCAGACAGCTCCTTTTGGTGCCGGCTTTTTTTGCACTAAAACAGCAAAAGCGTTTAAATGGCAAAGGGTAAAATTACCCTAACTTGTTCTACTATAAGGCTGCAAGTTGTAAAGTTTTTTGAAATGACAGAAGCTTCTTTGTTTCCTGCCCACAGTTCAGAGCTGTTAGTCTAGCTCTTCTGTATCTGTCTGTCATTGTAAAGAACAAGTCCACATTCATTTACAGGCTAAGAAAAAAATCTTAACCTTTTGTTCCTCTACCCAGTTTATTCGGGTCAGCGTTTGCTACATTTGATTGTTGAATTAAGATGAATTTTACAGAAATGAAATTAATGGTATTGTTCTATAAGCAGGTCAGAGTCCAATGATGTGACTCTATTAAAACGCTTTTATTTATGCTCAAACTTCCAGAATTCCGATAAAGCTAAGGTCTGAACTTTTTTTAGACCAGTAAAATAACATTTCCCCACATTATCTTTTAGATTTGCTGCTATAATTTTGGAAATTGTCCTTTTTTGTCACCCAAATGTTGGACTGTAGAGAACCCGTTACATATCAACAAACCTTTTCACAGGACTACACGAGATTATTTGCTGCTGCTGAATGTGGTTAGGACTACATAACAGGAGTAACAAAATGCAGTAGTTCTGTCTGTGTTAATCAGATTAGTATGAAAAGGCACACAGTGGAATCAACAGAGTTGATCCAAACAGACTTTAGTCAGTCAGTTTGGCAGACATTTTCATTTATGGTACTGTTTAAACACACAGGGCCATAAAAGCAGATGTGGGCAGACATAACTGGACTCTGATGGAGTTTTGGAGGTTTATGCTAATAATCTGCCAAATGTAAAGGGCTGAGGTTTGTTTTTGAACTCCTGGCTATGGGGTGAGTTTAGTCTGTAGCTCCTTAGCCTAATGGCGTTTCAGCATGTCTCCTTGAATAATTATGTGACTACCTTCTGGATGCTTTAAAATAAGGTATTGTTCTCAGCTTGATGTTTCCACATATGAGTTCTACATCTCAACTTGCTGTTACTGCTTTTTATTTTGGTTTAAAATGTTCTTCCTTTGCCTCTGCCATGTATTTTCAGGGTCTTGGTAGTCTGTCCTTCCAAAGCTTCCACCAGAGGACGCTGTCTGCCTCCTCAGCAAGAACAGCCCAGTTAACTTGCTATGCAGCAGCAGTTCTGATAGCCATTCTGGGAATCCCTCCTGCTCTGGTTGGGGCTGTGGCTGCATCCACAGGTGAGAACTAAGCTAAAGCCTTTGTACATGTTATGTGGCAGCAAGTAAATTAGACTGGCTCCTACTGTTTTGCTTTTCACAGTGACTCAGACACACGTCCTTTCTCTGGCAGCTCGTTGCATAACTTTGTAACCATACTTTGTATAAATGCACAAGCTGAGCAAGATGCAACCATGGGGTACTTGGTAACAGAATCTTTTCCTTTTTATTCATTACCACCAGATTCCACTTTCTACAGGCCTTTGTGCAGGAGTCAAATTATGCTGAAGGTTTGAGAGAGAGAGACAAAAACTGTCCCACAATTTGACACTTTTTTATAAGCATTTATAACACATTTATAACATATTCACCCCAGATTGAGAGGAGCTCAGGAAATATTCATATAAGGAGCAAGAAGAGGAGACTTTGTGTTTGTGATATTCCTGTGCTGCCTAAGCTTTGTGATTCTTGTTAGTAGTGAACAATTATCCCGGCCACTGGAGTCACTTCACATCACTTTCAGACCCACTCACAGCCTCTAGTACTTTAAATTCCTACTTTATCATATTTAAACAACAAACTTTCAGGCTTTTTTGTCACAAACACAAAGTCGAAAATGTTTATGGAGTAGAACAAAAATATGAGATGCTCTGTTTTTTTTATTGTATCTATTTCTTTATGAAATCGAAGGGTTGACGGTTCAAGCCCAGACTCTGACTTTCATTGTCGTTGTGTCCTTGGGCAAGACACTTCAACTGCATTGTGTACTGATGTGGTCAAAGGGCCCAGTGGTACCATTCTACAGCAGCCCCGCTTCTGTCAGTGAGCCCCAGGGCAGCTGTGGCTACAATGTAGCTTGCCACCATCAGTGTGTGAGTGTGTGCGTGAATGGGTGAATGAATGTAGTGTAAAGCGCTTTGGTCAAGTCTCCTGATTTGAAAAAAGGCGCTATTTAAGTGCATGCCATTTACCAATTTATAAATAAAAGCATAAAAAATGTGGCGTGTAATTGCATTTAGGCCCCAGAGTGAATCAATCATTAAATAAACGCAACAAAACAGCTAAAATAAAATATAAATTTTCATTTTTATAAAAAAAAAAAAGTACCTTGCTTATAAAGAGTGAACCAACATACCTGTCAACACATGCAGAAATCTGACTGAACATTTCCAGAACATTGCAGAAAACACCTGATTTCAGTGATTACCTCAAAGTGTTGCTCAACTAAAGGTTTTGTTTAGAAGTTCCATCAGTCTTGTTTACTTATTTTAATTAGTAATATACACACACACAGAGCTTGTGGTTGTAATCACTGATGATACGGTTGCAGTATACACTTGTTTTTTTATTTCTTTAATTTATTTAGATCCCCATTAGCTACTGAGTCAGTAGCTATTCCTTCTGGGGTCTTAACATTTTTTAACAGATATTACATCAAAGCTGTGTCACAATGAAGCCAAATACAGAAGTACACACACACAACAATACAACTTCATATACATACAGACTCCATAACCTGCCCATGCCATTTACACTGCTGTATTGCACACTGCTCTATTTGCACTACCTTGTACATTTAATTTTTTTATACTTTTTATATATTTTTTTTATTTATCCATATTTTTATCCTAAGTGTATATATTAGTATATTTTTTGCATGCCTTATACCCCAGTGTTTTTAGAGATTTTTATAACTTTATTTACCTATTTCCTATTATATGTTTCATGTTGCACGATTGTACCATAAAAAATTCCTAGTTGTGAATTCCTTCACTAACAATGGCAATAAACCCGATTCTAATTCTGATTCTGATTCTGATTCTGAACATACACAAAGATACACATAATATAGTATGAACTATTCTGTGTACAAAACCATACCAATCTCTGGGCATTATGTAAATTATAAAGCATTTCAGTTACTAGTGCTCATTATGAATTACTTAATTTCATAAACGTTACAGTCACTCCAAAGTAAATATATAAAGTCTTAGCCTTGTACATCTCTGAAAAATAATAATTGCGGGAGTGAGTTCCACGCCACCATCGCCCTATAACACGATGTTCTCTGAAGTTGATTTGTTCGTCCGGCAGGTAACCAAAAACTTCTTTCACTTGATTGGCAAGTGAAATAATTATGAGTGTCACCAAAAAAGTCAATCTGTTATGAATAATTTCAGGTGCTATTGTAATAATTGTGTTTTTTAAGAATTTAATTAGAGAATATTTGATCCATGCTAACTGATTGTGCATGTCTGTAATACTACCTGAGCTGCTTTATTTTTTGCAACCTGTAATTTATTCTGGTTATTTTCTGTAGTTGTTGCCCAAATTATGGAACAGTAGTCGAGATTACACAAAACTCTTGATTCCACCAAAGTTTTCCGTATTTGAGTTGGTATGCATTTCTACAGTACCGAACTGCTGCCATACTCCTGCCCATATTATTCAGTATTTGTTTTATCTGAGCGTTCCAAGTTAGCCTGCTGTCCACAATCACGCCAAGCAATTTGGACTCAGTCACTTGTTCAATCAGAATCAGAATCAAGTTTATTGCCAAGTAGGTTTGCACTTACAATATATATATATATACAGAAGCTATATACAAACAGTAGACTGTGCGTTAAAGGAGAAGTTCGGTTTTTAACACTTTAAGCCCATTTTCTGTAGTGTCCAGGATGAAATCGAATGATCGACACCAAANCCAAATTATGGAACAGTAGTCGAGATTACACAAAACTCTTGATTCCACCAAAGTTTTCCGTATTTGAGTTGGTATGCATTTGTACAGTACCGAACTGCTGCCATACTCCTGCCCATATTATTCAGTATTTGTTTTATCTGAGCGTTCCAAGTTAGCCTGCTGTCCACAATCAAGCCAAGCAATTTGGACTCAGTCACTTGTTCAATCAGAATCAGAATCAAGTTTATTGCCAAGTAGGTTTGCACTTACAAGGAATTTGACTTGGTGTTGTTGGTGCAGACAAAAAATAAAAATAAGATAGAATATATATATATATATATATATATATATATATATATATATATACAGAAGCTATATACAAACAGTAGACTGTGCGTTAATGTAACGCAGAAATCCTGAATGGGGGAGAGACACATTGTCCAATGTCACGGGCGGGTCTTGGCCTTGTTGATAAGGCCGATAGCAGATGGGAAAAAAATTGAACGTCCCATTTCTCAAAATTGAACCACTAACAACCAAGTTAAGAGTAGGTGAGCCTTTTAAGATGATTAAATCCCAAGATCATGCATTTGCTCTTTGCAGCATTATTAACCAACTTTCTTTTTTTTTTTTATCCAATTTTCAATTAATTTTAGTTGATTATTTAATATCATAATAAGTCTGGTAAAGTAATAGTCAGACACATAAAGAGTTGAGTCATCTGCATATAAGGCAATAGTAGCAAATTCCAAAATAAATGACAAATCATTTGTAAAAACAGAAAATAATAATGGCCCAAGGCAACTCCCTTGAGGCACCCCACAGTGGATAACCTTTGTCTCAGAATAACTACCATTAAAAAGTACATTAAACTCCCTATTAGTAAGATAGCTATAGATCCATTGGATTGCACACTTTTCAAATCCATAATAACTTTAATTTTCTAATTATAAATTATGATCAATTCTATGTATCAAATCTATGTAACGTGCAAATGTAAATATTAGCCATACACATGAAACTGGGGATTTTACAAGGACATTAGACCATCCCAATGGACCCCAGGCCCTGTAGTATATCAATGTTCTGTACTTGCAGCTTGGATGTCAGATTTCTGCATGAGTGAATTTTTATCCTTTTGAAATATATATCTGTTTTTGAAATTCTCTTTTCCAGACTGGAACCTGACAGAGTACGGTTCCCCCCCTCCTTACGTCCGTGGGGAGCACAGTTTTGTCCTGCCCCTCACTCTGCAGTACCTCACTCCATCCTACATCTCAATCATTGGAATTGGAGCCGTCGCCGCTGCTGTCATGTCTTCCACAGACTCGGGTCTGTTATCTGCAACATCTGTCTTCTCCTCAAACATCTACAAAAATGTCCTGCGCACACAGGTAAGGAGTCCAAAGTGTTAACCTCAGAAGCTATGTTTACTATCCAAACCACTCTATCAGATAAATCCCAAATGGGATGGATGCATGTTTAAGTAAATAACCAAGCATCTTCTCTTTTATGACCTGTTGTTCCCAGGCTTCAGATAATGAGATGCAGTGGGTGATTCGGGTGTCAGTTGTAGTTGTGGGACTTGTTGGAACGTCCATAACATTCTACACTAACAGCACCCTGGTCCTCTGGATTCTCGGAGCTGATGTCTCCTACACCCTCATGTTCCCCCATTTGGTTTCTGTGCTTTTCTTCAAAGTGACCAATGGTTACGGTGCAGCAGTGGGGTACATAGTGGGGGTGACTCTGAGGATTCTGTTGGGAGAAAATACTTTGGGCATCCCAGTTGTCATTCACCTTCCAGGTTGTACTCTGGAAGATGGCATCTATGTCCAGAAGGCTCCTGTGAGGACATTGTCCATGCTGTGTACCTTGGTAACCGTATTGCTTTTTTCTTGGTTGGCTTGTCTCATGTTTAACCACGGCTTGCTGCCTGAGAAATGGGACGTTTTCAAAGTAAGACGTACGGTTACTACACCGCTGGGGGATGATGCCACACAAAACCTCAAAGATGAAGTGGTGAATTCTGCTGAATGTGATCAGAACAGCCACGGAGTGGCTTTACAGCTGCTGTCACAAACTGGAGCATGAAGGCTCTCTGTATATAAAATGTCTTTGATCCTATTCACTTTGGACACAGTTATTGTAAACTGAGACTGACAATGATTATAGTAAAGGCTCTTTTTTCTTTTAATTTATCTTATTTATCGATCCTTTACTCAATAAAAATCTAGGTATAACCTTTATTCTAGCTAAGGTTTTCTCTTACCCTGAAATAGCTTGTGCATACACAATCATGTACTCCTTGCAGACATTTTCCAATTTCTGTCTTTCTGCCATTCTTTAATAATTTGAGGTCATTAAACACTGGTCTTCATGTAAGACCAAGTTAATGCAATTTGACGCAAAAAAGCACTTTTCAGAGGATTTCATTTAGCCATTAAGACCAACCTGGACCTTTATAAACAGCTTCACTGGGCTCCTTTACATTTCTGTGGAAGCATCTTATACCTATCTTTGCAGAGTTGTTTCAGTTCGGCCCCATTGGAGGGGTTTTACAGTATATCATCTTGTTTCAACCTATGGCACATTATCAATATGTTTTTTAACTCGAGAATTGCTACTTCAAGATTGTCCCTTTGAGTTAACTCATTCAGAGGCAGACTTGATGTTGTGCTTCTTGTCATTGTCATGCCTCATAAAACGGGATGCGCTTAAGCTTAATGTCTTAAACTGATAGTTTCAGGAATTTTGGTTGTTGGCATGATCAAGTTCTAAATCTGTGTGGGAATGCTGTAACAGATGTAGCAAGGCTCACACAGCCTTCAAAGCTTTGCCTGTATCTTCATTTGTTTTTTAGTCTTGCTGATCACTTGCTCATAGAGTAACTATGGCAAAGGTTGGGAAGGTTCCCCATTGCTGCATGTTTTCTTTATTTGAGAATGAGAGCTTTCCTGTACCTCAATGAAGACCTAAATCCTTAGAAGAGGCTTCTAAATCATTTACAAGCTTTGTAAATTTAAATCCAATCTGTTGTATTTTTTGAAATCACAGCTTAATGTGTTAATGTCTGAGATCCTTTAACCTGTTCATGCTGATAGTTTCTATTGAGGTGGTTTATGTTTAATAATTGCACACATCTCTAGTTCTTCAGATCCAAGTGTGGCTTGAGAAATTCAACACTTTCTGAACAATCTGCTCTTGATCAGTTAATTCCTGACTTAGTATTTAGTAAATCCTCTTTGAAACAGGTCCAGGTTGGTTTGGAGAACCTTTAGTTTGTAAAAGGATATAAGGACTTTTTTAGACTAAAATGATCATTTGAAAACTGCTTTTTGTTAGCACTTAGGTTAAATTTGCTCAATGTTCTGAAAAATTTTAATTTGGAAAAAAACCGAAGAAGAAATCTGCAAGGAACCAATATGTTTGCACAGAGTAGTGTTTGTCTTACAGCCCTTATAGTCTTACAGCCCATCTCTGTCTCATGCTGAAAACAATCACACATAAAACACAGTATAAGGCTTATACCAAGTGGTTAAATATAAGTATATTTACTCAAGTGCTACAGTAGAAATTTAAAGATGTCATGCAACTTTAATTTTGTCTATGTCACTGTAACTCAGAGGAATAAAATATATATATATATATACACATAAGATGTCACAGGACACATACAAATATGACAATTGCTTAAACTACCAAACAGTAACTTATTTCATGATCTATCATTAACTCGAACCTCAACATCCACAGCTAAACACAATAAAATTAAAGCAATGTTAATACAACACTATAATGCAGAGTGAGAAGTTGGTACTAACTTGCTTATGTTTTTTGAATATATAACTTAAATTAGTAAGAACTAAAACACTTAAAACTAAAAGCCTGACTTTTTCTGAAATTTAACATTAAAAGAAACACCTTAATAGATTTTTAATCGTTTGTAGCAAAAATGCTCGACAACTCAGACACCTGAGCCAAACAAAGGGCTCAGCCACCAGACAGAAACACAATACAAAATGAGTGGATGATGATGGACCAGCAAATACAAACGAAATAGAAAACGTACTTTAAAATGACCCATCTTCAATAAGGTAAATAAATACTTAGCAATATAAGGGTGACGTCTCCATCGACGGTTTAATACTCACAGGAGTTCCTCTCCACATGTCGGACACTCCTCAACAGATGCCAACGTTACCGACGGACTGCTGCTGGTGTTAACCGCTGCCGCAGTGAAGAAGCCGAAGTCTAGAATCTACACAGATCTGCTCCACCTGCCTAGAAGGAATGCAGTCAGTGTGACATGGAATAAAATCAGATCAGAGATTAAAAATTCAAACACAGCCGCTGTGTTCAGGCCTTAAAGGAATAGTACACCCAAAACATGATTAGCCTTCATTTTCTACTCACCCCCATGCTGAACAACACTCTGGAGTACTTTTTTGATATCTCAAATGCATCTGGAGATCTGGGAGGCTTCTTGCTGTCTGCTGACATTCAAATAATGGAGGTCTATGGTGACCGAGACAGAAAGGTCCATAAAAGTCCACAAAAAACGTGTCAATATTCCTCCATACTGCTCGTCCAATGTATTCCAAGTGTCCTGAGTGGGTAGCATCCAGAATTTACTCGAAACGAAGTCATTTAGAATGTTTTTAGAGCATAAACAGTAGTGTATAGGATTTCCTGAAAGCGCGCACATGCGCCATCACGACGCTACGGAAGCCGGCACACCAAACCAGATGAAAGTGCGCATTCAGCGTCTGCTCTGCCAATAATGCAAGCGTAGAAGAAGAAATGTGCTGTTTACCTGTGCAAAGAAAGAAACAACGAAAGAAAAATGTCTGAGGACTTCAGTGTTGAGGAAGAGCATGAGTTCTTTGCCGAGCTGAATGCGCTGGTTTGGTCTGCCGGCTTCCGTAGCGTCGTGAACGCGCATGTGTGCGCTTTCAGGAAATCCTATACACTACTGTTTATGCTCTAAAAACATTCTAAATGACTTTGTTTCGAGTAAATTCTGGATGCTACCCACTCAGGACACTTGGAATACATTGGACGAGCAGTATGGAGGAATATTGACACGTTTTTTGTGGACTTTTATGGACCTTTCTGTCTCGGGCACCATAGACCTCCATTATTTGAATGTCAGCAGACAGCAAGAAGCCTCCCAGATCTCCAGATGCATTTGAGATATCAAAAAAGTACTCCAGAGTGTTGTTCAGCATGGGGGTGAGTAGAAAATGAAGGCTAATCATGTTTTGGGTGTACTATTCCTTTAAGACCCACCAATGTACTGAGGTTCCTTAACAATAAGCTTTAGAGATGTGTTCTCCGAAGCATAACTTGGTTACTTATCTAGCTTTATTTTTCACAGCAGGCTGCTCAGTGGCGCAGTGGGTAGCACTGCTGCCCTGCAGCCCGGGTCTTTCTGCATGGAGTTTGCATCTTCTCCCTGGGCATGCGAGGGTTCTCTCCGGGTAGACCAGCTTCCTCCCACAGTCCAAAAACATTATTGTTAGGTTAATTGGCTTCATCCACTGGCCTGAATGGTTGTTTGTCCTGTTTGTCTCTGTGTTGCCCTGCAATGGACTGGCGACCTGTCCAGGGTGTACCCCACCTCTTGCCTGTAGACACCTGGCTTTAGTCACCAGTACCCCGCGCAACCCCACGTGTAAGAAAATGGATGGATGTATTTTTCACAGCTTTCAGTTGGTTTCTGATTTGAAAATGCTGCTCAGCCTGTAGATAAAATCAGTTTAGACCAGTAGCTGTTTCCGTTAGACTTTAACAATGCTGCCTTACTGCCCACTTTGAAAGCTGCCGTTTGGGTCATGTCATATTTACAATTCAGGGAAACAGGAAGTGATGAACTGCTTGTATAAATTTCCCTGCCTTTGATCAACATAATAATAGTACAGTAAAAATAAAAGAATCTAATTTAACATTTATTTGAATTTAGTCTTTAGGAGTTTTTCCTATACATTTTGATTTCATACAACTAAAGATTGATTTTTTTTTTTTTTTGCGATTATGCTACCACAATAAAAAAATAGTAGAAGATTCTTAATAACCATGGAGCTGGTTGCCTGTATATTAATTAATATATATTTCAATATATAAATAAGATATTTTTCCTTCACATTTAATGTAAGTATTTACTTATCTCTATATTTTGAAGGAAACATGAGATCTATCAGATAACAAGAAGCTTTACTGGATGTTTATCTTAAATTAAAAACCAAACAGTTTGCTAATTCAAAGCTCATTATATTATATTCCTGTTCAAACAATGACATAGCAGCAAATGCAGCAAATATTTATCAAACGTACAGATGTGTATATTTTATCTACAATGTGTATATTTTATGTTTTTGTGCTGTTTACCAATATATCATTTTAAGGACTGACTCTAAGAAAAGGTTAGTTGCATTCTAACTTGTATGCTGACATAATGTTCTAGTAATAGGAGCTTATGAAGTGGTGATGATGGCACACCAGCTGGACATCCCTATGGCTCAAAACGTCAAATTTCTGGATCGCTGAGGTAGTGATTCTGAGTGAGTCTACCACAAATAAAGTAGTGAAGCACTCAGGACCTTGACCCTTCTCATGGGAGGGAGCGTCTCAGAAATGCAGAACAAGAAGCAGATACGATGCTGCAAGCCTCCTGTAGAAACACTGAGCTTGCAAAAAGAAATAGAGAGGAAGGAGGGAGTATTTTTTTAGAACTACAGAGAATATATTTACGATATATATATGTTTGATCAACTTAAAGGCACACTATGCAACATTTTTCAGTTAATTAATGTGTTCCATAACGTT